ATTTGCCCCAGGAATGCATAATTGGTTCTATATTTAAAAAGCAATTAATGTAAGTCACCATATTTAAAAATTATTTAATTCGATGCGAAAATTTTTAACAAAATATTGGCAAACTGTATCCAGCAGCACATCAAAAAGTTTATCTACCACAATCAAGTAGGCTTCATTCCTGGGATGCAACATTGGTTCAACATACACAAATCAACAAATGTGATTCACCACATAAACAGAACTAAAAACAAACCCAGATGATCATCTCAATAAATACAGAAAAGGCTTTTGATAAAATTAAACATTCCTTCATGTTAAAACCCCTTCAACAAACTAGGCATTGAAAGTACATATTTCAAAATATTAAGAACTATCTATGACATACCACAACTAATAACACACTGACGCAGCAAAAACTGGAAGCATTCCTGTGAACAAGACAAGGATGCTCATTCTCACCATTCCCAATCGACACAGCAGTGGCAGACATAGCAAGAGCAATCACACAAGAGAAAGAATAGAAGACATTCAGCCGGGCGCGGTGGTTCAAGCCTGTAATCCCAGCACTTTAGGAGGCTGAGACGGGCGGATCACGAGGTCAGGAGATCACGACCATCCTGGCTAACATGGTGAAATCCCGTCTCTATTAAAAAATACAAAAAAAAAAAAAAAAACACTAGCCGGGCGTGGTGGCGGGCGCCTGTAGTCCCAGCTACTTGGGAGGCTGAGGCAGGAGAATGGCAGTAAACCCAGCAGGCAGAGCTTGCAGTGAGCCGAGCTCCGGCTACTGCTCCCCAGCCTGGGCGACAGAGCAAGACTGCATCTCAAAAAAGAAAAATGAGCAAAGGACATGAATAGACACTTTTCAAAAGAAGAAATGCATGAAGCCTACAAGCCTATGAAAAAAATGTTCAATATAACTAATTAGTAGGAAAAATGCAAATGAAAACCACCATGAGATACCATCTTACACCAGTTAGAATAACTGTTATTAAAAAGTCAAAATATAACAGATGCTGGCAAGATTGCAGAGAAAATGGAAAGCTTATACATTGTTGGTGGGAATGTAAATTAGTTCAACCGCTGTAGAAAGTAGTCTGGATATTTTTCAAACAACAACAACAAAAAAACCCTAGCATTCGGCCCAGCAATCCAATTAATATACCAAAAGAAATACAGCACTCTACCATAAAGATAACATGCACATGATGTTCAATGTAGCACTATTCACAATAGCAAAGACATAGAATCAACCTCAATGCCCATCAATGTGGACTGGATAAAGAAAATGTGCTACATATACACCATGAAATACTATGCATCCATAAAAAGAACAAGAACACATTCGTTTCAGCAACATAGAGAGAGTTGGAGGACATTGTCCTAAGTTAACTAATCCAGAAACAGAAATCCAGATACCACACATGTTCTCACTTATAAGTGGGAGCTAAACATTGAGCACACATAGACACAAACAAAGGATCAGTAGACACTGGGGCTTACAGAAAGGTGGGGGGTGAGAGAAAGGTAGGGATTAAAAACTACCAATTGGGTATTGAACGGATTACTTGGGTGACAAAATTATCTGGATACCAAATACCCACGACATGCAATTTACCCATGTAACAAACCTGCACATGTAGCCCTTAAAACTAAAATAGAACTTGGAAAGAAAAAATTTTTTATAATCATCTTAATAGATATAGAAAAATTATTTCCCAAAAATTCAATGTTCTGATTAAAAACTCTTAGCAAACTAGGAACAACAACAACAAAAAAAGTCCTCTACCTTATAAAAGGCATTCATGGAACATCTATAGCTAATATCATACTTAATGGTCAAAAACTGAAAAAATGACTGAATTTTTTCCCCAAAGATTAGGAAGAAGAACAGGATGCCCATCCCCATCCCTTCTTTTCAACATGACCATGGAGCTCCTAGCAAAGCACAGAGGGTAGGGGATGATGTTAAACAGTCTTTATTCACAGAGGACCCAAGCACCTATGTGGAAAACCCTAAACAGGGTACAAAATTCTACCAGAAATAATAAATGAGTCTAGCACAATTTTAGGATACATTTTAAATATACCAAATTAAACTGTATTTCTATGTAAATGTGAAAGCAAGAAAAATTTGGAATTAAGGAGTGCCATTAAAAATATTATCATTTGAAAAGTGTTCATGTCCTTTGCCCATCTTTAAATGGGGTTACTTGTTTTCTGCTTGTTGATTTGTCTAAATTCATTATAGCTTCTGTATATTGGGAACAGAAAACCAAATACATGCATACTCTCACTTACAAGTTGGAGCTAAACATTGAGCACACGTGGACATAAACATGCAAAGAATAGACACTGCGGATTACTAGAGGGAGGAGTGGAGAAGGGGGCATGGGTTGAAAAACTACCTATTGGGTACTATGTTCACTACCTGGGTGCAATATACCCAGGTAACAAACCTGCATATGTACCCCCTGTATCTAAAATAAAGGTTGAAATTTAAAAAATATATAGCATCAAAAATACTAACTACTTAGGGACATTTTAATAAAATTTGCCCTGGGTTTCAGGGGACATTGAAAGAAAGGGGAACACTTCCTCTTAAGAAGTGATAAAATACTCCACATTTTGGTCGTGGTGGTGTTACCGGAGTGACTGCATTTGATAAAATGCATGTAACTGAACGCTTAATACTACATAGTTCACTGAGAGTAACAAAAATATATCCCACTCTCCAGAGTTAACAATCATTAATATTTCTGCATTTATTCTTTCAACTAGCACTTTTCTAAAATGACTTATGTAAAGGTGATTAGACGTTCACAGAGCTCACTGCACAGTTGTTACAAACGAAGGCCACGTATTCACGGGTATCCGAATGGTACTAACTCTGGGCCTGAACATACCAGCATCCCTGGAAGTCCAGCCTCACCCAGGGCTTGATTTCCTTATATTCCTAAGGAGCCCAGAGTTGTTTACTGTTCACAAAATACGTTGCCCCTTCGGATGAGCTCTGTAAGGGTTGCCTCATGGGTGCTGCTGGCCAGGGTTTCCCAAAGGTCCTGCCTTTCTTCCCACCTGCCTGAAACACTGGCCTTGCCTGCTGCTGCCAGGGGCAGGGACTGGGGAGGGAAAGGGTCTTTTGCTGCAAATAAAGTCCCCAGTACTCAGGTGTCTGCATTGCTAAGCTTGAGAGCCAGATTCTGCCTGTGTGCTCAGACTTTTGTGGTTCTTTAAGGACTGGGCTCCTGAATCAGGGCAGATCTGTCAGGGAAACCCCACAGCAAAACTCCCTTCCCATTTTCCCCATGACCTCCCCACCGCATCAGGGTGGCTGGGTCCGGAGGCTTTAAAGTATCAACTCATCTACTGCTACTGTAAGGGAAAATGCAAAATAAATAAAAGAGGCTTAATTTTTCCTGTGAAAAGTAATGCAAGAAACTCCTCCTCACCCCTTTTCTAAGAGCATTTAGTTTCAAAGTCTTGAAATTCTAAATTCTTCCTTTGTCTCTTTGAAATGTGTGTAAATCCTGTTAAAATCTATATAAACCTCTTGCCAGTTTTACGACCCAGGAATGTCTTTCCCAAGACCTTCCTTTCCCAGGCTTTCCTGGGAACCATATTTTCAGATGTAATCATCAAGGAAGATAGAGCCCCTGTCGCCCAGTTTTTGTGGGAGGGGTAGGAGCCCAATTTAGGATCCTAACTTAACTTAGGCAAAAGGCTAATTTTGACAACTAACTTAAAATGTTGCTTTCCCCCAAGTTGCGAAGCTACCTCGTTTCATAAAACTGTGACAAGAATATCTTCTCTTTTGATACAGCACAGATGACCGTATATCTTGGGATAGGGAGCCTTTTGTCTCTATAATAAATGAATGAATGAATTAGTGAATGAAAAAAGACGTAAACAGAACAGCCAGGACCCACCCTCCTCTCTAAAGGCTAATGTAGAGCTCTGGAGGCATCAGGCTCTGAGCCTGATGATTTAACACACTGGGAATAAAGAGACCGTAGGGGGAAAATAATCCTTCAAATGTCAGTCTGGAGAGGAAATCCAGGGAGGAGCTGAGACCTGAAACCAACAAGGAGACTTCCAGCCAAGGGAAGGAGAGTGGATGAGTCAGGAAGCTTCTAGACCATGATCCACAGGCTCTAGAGCAAGGGGAGCAGACAGAGGCATGTTTGCTGCCTGCAGGGTTCAGAGAAGGTGTCTGTGCACATTCGGAGCTTTGATCAGGGCTAGAATCCACAGTCTAGCTTTCAGTGTAAAAACGAGAAAATAGAGAACAGACAAACTGGAATATAGAACAATAGAAGTGGTGAAAATTGATACATATTTCTCAAACACATTTCCCAAAGAGTAAGTCTACTACTGTCCTCTCTAGCTGACTTCTGGACTGGGACCCTTGCCTGGAAGTTCGTTCTCTGATTTCGCAATGCTCAGTGCTGCTTGACTCTGCATGACAACAACCTATGATGGAAGGGAACCCTTGGTCCCAAAGAAGAGTCATGAAAACCACTGGACGTGAAGTGTCAGGAGAACATAGCTCCTCACAGGACGGTGTCTGACCTAGTGCAAGGTGTAACTCTGTGGTGACACAGGTGATTATTTAGAGGGTTCTTCTAAAATTTTAAGCTAAAAAATCCTTAGAGCATGCTTGCTTCATTTCAGAATTATTATTATCATTATTATTATTATTAGATGGTATCTCACTCTGTCACCCAGCCTGGAGTACAGTGGTGCAGCCTCGGCTCACAGCAACCTCCACCTCCCGAGTTCAAGCGATTCTCCCACCTCATAAGTAGCTGGGATTACAGGCATATGCCACCACGCCCAGCTAATTTTTGTATTTTTAGTAGAGATAGCGTTTCACCATATTGGCCAGGCTGGTCTCAAACTCCTGACCTCATGATCTGCCCGTCTCGGCCTCCCAAAGTACTGGGATTACAGGCCAGGCCTGAGCCACCATGCCCAGCCTATTTCATGATTTTAAAAAAGCATTTTTTAAAAGTAGATCTGAATATGTTTATCTTTTTTTCAAAGCAGTTGACAGGGCAGTCACACTCAGGCAAAAGAAAACCCACACTCTAAATATGAGCACAGGATGTAAAGTTGCCGCATGGATGAATTAGCAGGTGCTGTGATGTTCTGAAGCTTCTGTCGGGGCTCTTGCAGGAAATGCTCACCCGAGCCCTCCGTGGCCCCCACAGCTTCCCGGCAGGCCCCGAAGGTTTCTGCACAGGAAAGCGATGACTCTGCAAGGCTGTGTCTTGGCTGCTGGCGCAGAGATACAGGGCTGAGTCTTCTGGCTGCAGGGCGCGTAGGTGAAGGTATAAGAGAGAGCTCTTGGAGCATTCAGGTGAGAAGCGACTGGGCACACTTTCATTAATAGAGAGTTTCTCATACTGGTAGACAAACATGATCTCCGGCGGCTTCTTAGCTTTCTGCTTGTACCAGTACATAGCATTGTGTCCCATATGTTGTTCACATTTCAAAGACTTCTTATTTGTCATTCCCATGACCAGGTGCTTTGGTGTCTGGGTAACTCCAGTGTCTGTGGGGACTGTAGGAGGAAAGGGACAAAATTCAGGCAGAGCCCAGGAGGAGGGTTGTTGCTGCAGCCACAAGGAAAAAGCTTGGAGTTCAAGGACAGACAGTTTGAACCTAACTCACCTGCTCCCAGGAGACAGAGAACCGCACAGCAGAGCAGCCTGCAGCCCATGCTAGCCTCGGGTCTGAGATGAGGCCTCTGACTGGGGTCCTCTGGGTGAGGCACTGGGCTCTGGTCTCCTTGGCCCTGATTGGTGGTTTTCCCTGTGATGTCACTGCTCCTGACAGCTTCCCCAGACCCAGGGGATGTTTCTTCCTAGCCGTTTTACATCCTTTCTAAGTTCTGATAGAAGGAAGATTTGAATAGTCTGGGCTGGGATGAATGGGCTGGGCAGAAAGGACAGAGCCAGCTTTTTACCCCCCAAGGATATTCCTCTGGCAGGGGCTCTTTGCTCTCAGCTGCTTCCTCATTAAGTGGATCCTCCCTCTATCTCTGTCTCCCTGTCTTTCAGGACCCCTCTCAGCAACAGACCACTCCCATTCAAGGAATCGCCTTCTGTCCTGCGGGATCACACAAGACAGCACCATTCAAAACATCCCTTCCCTCAATGTCTAAGCACGGTGGAGCCCTTTTTGCCTGGCTCTGTGGAGGGAGGATGACTGCATGACCACAGATGCAGTGTGGACCAGCGCCCATCATTCAAGGGTATGACTGTGATGCCAACCAGCAACCAGGCACTGGGGAGGGAGCTGAGGGAGCACGAAAGGGATGAGCCACCCTCTGTCCCTGTAGTGGAGGGCATGAGGCTTGGCTGGGCTTCGAGCTAACATACACAGGATGCTGAAAAAGAACAACGCAAGGTGTGTGGTGCAAAGGAAAGGGAAATCAGCTTGAAGCTGATGTTAGTGTGCTTGACCTGAGTACAGCCATGTTCTCATTCGAGGTACGGATGGCTCCCCGTGGGCAAGATCCCTCCTGGGCCATCTCTCCTCTCACTCTCTATCCCTCCCCAGGTCCCTGCCTCAGAGGTTTCACGGGAGCACAGCTCCTCCCTGTGGCCAAAGCAGCACTTGGCCACTCACCAACCCAGTGTCAGGATCCAGACTGGATCCATATCCCACATCCCTGGGCAGCAGGGATGGGTTTGAAAGGCCAGGGGAGAATGAAAAGGAAAGAGATGTTGGCAACAATACAGAGCGTCAACAGTCGGAACACCAGGTATCCCCACACCTAAGACATTCTAAAGTTTTACTCAACAGAAATTGTCTATGTCTGAGTCTGGGCACCGTTGCAACACCTTATCTCTACAAAAATTACCAAAAATTAGCCGGATGTAATGGTGCATGTCTGTAGTCCCAGCCACTCAAGAGGCTGAGGTGGGAGGATTGCTTGAGCAGGGAAGTCAAGGCTATAGTGAGCCTTGTGTTACTGCACTCCAGACAGAGCAAGACCGTGACCAGCTAGAGAATAAAAATGTATCTTACATGAACTTTAGGAAATGTAATCAGTATGTCAGTGTTCCATCACTTCATATATGTGATGCCACATTTCCTCATATATTAAATCAGGGGAACTGAAAGGAGATGATCTCCAAAGCCCTTCCATTTCTAAAATGTTAGAAACCACATTAGGTCATCAGTTCTGTGGAGAGTTTTCCAACTTGAAACCAGCTCGATGAATTCCTATGGGTCATTTCTATTTCGCTGCATACGCTATTTATGCTTCGTGACCATTTATTGAAATATCATCAATTTTCTTAAAATGTAAAGTTATGCCAATATTGACTTTTCATTCTAGAACATGTGAAGATACAAATGAACACAAATAAACACAAAAATGAGATGATTCATACTTTCTAAGGGATTTTTACCATCTATTTATTGTTGTATTACAGCAGTATAACCATTTTGTGATGATCATTGTAATTGTAGGAGTGAGATTAGGGTCGTAAATCTATGTTATATGTAAATCTACACTCGGCCTAGGGAGAATACTTATCCATGATTTTAGTCAAGGATTTATAATTTAGGTTTGTTTTAACCTGGGGATATGTTCAGTCAGGAAGAAAATTTTAGCATTCCTCTAATGTATACATATTATCAGATTTTCGTTGTGGCCCATAAAGCAAAAAAAAAAAAAAAAAAAAAAAAAAAAAGAAGGTAAAGGAATGTAGATTGGATTTTAAGAAAGTGGGGTTGAATATTCTTCCCCTCAACGGGTTACATATAGGATGGACCTCTAACCTGCTATACTAGATAAAAACCTAAAATTAATCTTGTTTCAAACTCTAATATCATTCCTATTAAAATTATTTCAATTGGTATCTACTTCAGCAAGAAAACACTTTGGTCCTTCTACAAAGAAATAGAACAAATTTGAACAAATAAAAATTTATTGCATTGTTTAGTTCCCAATAAGTAAACCCAATTGCAAGGAAAATGGAAAAAAAAAAAAAAGCAATAGAGTTTAAACAGAAACCTTAAATAATGCTGGAAGTAAAAGGTTTAACTTTCCTGAGGACAATAGCTAACTTATGTTAGCATTTCCCACAACAAGGGGTGGTGACCAGAGAGCTCAAGTCATCTGAATTAGGAATGGATCTAAGAAGGAAAATGATCTCAGGATCGTGTGAATTGCAAGAAGAGTGAAGAGTGGAATGGTAAATATGAAAAAAGTCAAGCAAACATATTTATATAAAATAGAAGCAGTATATGTGATTGAAGACAAGAGGACTTAACTGACTCCAAGACAGCTGGGATTTAGGACACAGAGTACTAACAAGGAGCCCCAAGAACTCGTGTAAGAAAATCTTTTTTATTTTTTATTTTTCTTTCTGGGCCAGATCCTAAGTTATGCATGCAGAGGGTGGCACTCCTGAAGGCCCAGCAGGGAACAAACTCTGGAAGGCTGAAGACATGGGCAGGGATGTCAGAAGATACTCAGGCCCAGAAGGGATTGGCATTCAGACCCAGTGAGAGTGGAGAGTCGTGGTGGGAACACCATGATTCCCACTAAGACCCTGGAAAGGCATGCACTAGCAATGATGACCACATGCTGGGGCTCCCTAAGAGGGAGGGCAAAGCTGAAACAGACCCTAGCTAGTCCTACATTCAACCTTCCCAGATAAAACCCAATACTATTTCCAAGAGATAACATAAACCAGAGCCTCAAGCCTATGTCATCCACAATGTTTCTCATAAACCCTTTCTAACCTTTCATGTGGGATATTTAGAAGTCTCCTAATCCTTCATGCTACCCAAAAATCTATCTCCTTTCTGATCCATACTACTACCAGTGTTCCTGTACCAAAATAACAGTTTCATCATGTTGTTTCATTTGGAGTAGGACCAATGGCTCACCACTGCCTAGAGATTTGTGTCCAAAGTCCTTTCCGTGTCTCCCAATATCCCCAGTCATCCAGCTGTCGCCTACTCTTGAGAAGAGTTCAAGATGACATTCATCAGAATTGGAGAGACACTTGCTTGTCACACTTCTTGAAGAGAAGGAGTCTACAATGCACAAGGCTGCCTCCACCGGCTTCTCCTCAACACTTTCCAGTTTACCTATTGCCATGGAATTTCATGCCTCTCCAAATATTTTTCTGTTAAATAAAGTACTTACTGATCATCAGAATTGTCTCTTGATCTTAGAAATATTTCCCTCCCCCTCCTTTATGCTTGTGCTCATCAACCATTTTTAGCAATCATATTTTTTCATAATGTTATATAAAATATTAACAAATGTGTGCAGCACAGAAAGACAAGAAAAGGTTTCCTCCATCAGTTAAGATCTTTAGTGCTTGAAACCGGCTCCGTTTTTGTTTGTGGGGCCCTAATACTTCAGTGGCTTTGTTGTGAAGCCCTGCCCTAGCCGAGAAAAAATTCTGTGAGACTCTGTGTGCATACAATGGAGGATTTCTCCACTGGGTGCACTAGCCGGCTGTACTACAGACTGAAACTCCATCAGAGGTCATCAGGGAGTGGAGACTGGAGCCTTGGGTGCAGGTGCACACACTAGCCCACAGCTTCCTGGCTGAGCCGGGAGGTTTGTGCACAAGCACGTGATGCATCTGCAAGGCTGTGCCTTGGCTGCTGGCACAGAAATACACAGCAGAGTCACCGAGCTCCACAGACTTGATGTGAAGATTTAAATGAGCTTTGTCTAGAGATTCAGGTGAGAAGCGATTTGGAACTGTTTCATTTAAAATGGGCTCCTTATTACTGTAGATAAACATTATCTTCAGCAATTTCTTGGAGTCCTGCTTATACCAATACATAGTATCATGACCCAGATTTTGTTCACATTTAAGGGACTCCTTCTTTCCCATCTGTGTGACCAGGTATTTTGGAGTCTGGAAAACAGCTGTGTCCAAGGGACCTGAAAAGGAGAGAAGCAGAATTCAGGCAAATCCCAGGAGGTAGCCTGCTGTCGTCATGGTGAAAAGGTTTAGGGACTCCAACAGTATCATGTCACCTGGTCCCAGGACTCACCTGCTTGGAGGAGGCAGAGGACCACACAGCAGAGGAGCCTGCAGCCCATGGCAGAGTCAGGCAGACCAGGCAAGGCCCAGGGCAGGATTCTGGTGTGCAGTGGTGAGAAGTCTAGGCTGTGCTTTCCACTGCCGCTGAGAGGGGCTGCGCCAGTGAGGTCACAGCCTGTAATCATTTCCCCATTCCCAGGCTCTCCTCTAGCATGGCTCCTCCTTTTCATGCCCTGCACTTGCTGCTTTAAAAGTTTTTGAAATTTCTGGGAATAGTTGAGAGGGTTGAATTGTGGCCTCCAGGATGTGTCTCTGACGGTCATTCCTGTGCCATCAGCCCCCTCCCTCCCTGCTTCTTACCCGGGATTGACCACCCCCTCCCTTCCTCTCCCTTTCATGCCCTTCCCTCAGAGTCAGGCTGCTGTTCCTCTTTGGATCCTTTGCTTCCCCTTCACAATAATGCAGAACATTGTTTTCCTCTTTTGAATCTTTGTTCACGTGAAGGTCTGATTAATGGTCAACAGTCTCCCTGATTCAGAAGAGACTGGCCTGAGATTTCACCTGAGTACCAGCTACAGTCACCTAACCCACATGACTGCGATGCTAGTTCAGAGAAAACCCTGCTGAAGGGTCATTGTTGGGAGTGAACTGCAGCCCTGCTCCCTCTGATGCTTGTGTCTATCCAAGGGGCAGATCTATGAGGAAACAGGAGGCTGCTAGACAATATGTAGACACCGTGTGCTGGGAACGAATGGCGATGAATGTAAACAACACGGCAGTCGTGGAAAACAAAAGTAGGTGATGTCACTGCCCTTGAGTTGTCTGCAGATAATCCTCCTTCTTGGTACAAAGTTTGCAACCCAAGCTTATTGCGAGGTTTCTCAACTTGGGCACTACTGCATGTTGGATCAGGTGATTGTTGTAGGGGTCTGTCCTGTTCAGCTAGGATGCTTATTGGCATCCTTGGGCCCTACCTACCTGTGCCAATGTGACAACACAACATGCCTTCATGTTTTGTGAATTATCCCCTATTGAGCACCCCTGTCCCCGCTATTCTTGCTGATGGTACTCCCCTCCTCTGGCAGCCATCAACCACCCAACCTCGGGGGGTGTGGCCAGGCCGCAGCTCCTCCTACTCTGGTCAGCAAGGCCCAGCACTCAGACCTCAGTGCCTCAGTAAGTGGCCCCAGGGCAGCAACCTCCAGGATTTCTGGTTGTTGTTTTGTTTACAGGAGACATGGAAAGCAAATGTGTTTTATTGTCCATCAAAAATTGTCCTAAGGATAGAAAGGAGGAAAGAAATTGATGATGTACGTCTTCTTTTCTGACAGGGCCCACTATGCTGCAGAAGGGGAAAAAACTACAGAAAGGAGAGAGGATAGACGCTGGGATCCCTGGGAAGAACCAGGCTTCCAACAAGAAAGTCAAAGGGGGAAGAAAACATAATAGTTTTATCATGGAGATAACTTAATCCACAAAAAGGTGGAGACTTGTAGGGGCAAAGGGAATGAGGCAGAATGCTGCAGAAGAAGTAGAACACATTGAACTGAATGATATCATGATGCATATTTTGAACACGAGTCATATTTTTGGCTGTCCAATATTTTAACCCCGTCTTATATTTGGGCAGTTCCCCAAAGTTTGAGTCTTAGTGGGAAAGGCAAGTGTGTTGATATGTTTACAAGCAAAATCTTCCACCTTTGTAGAATCAAACTCTCCATCTCTGCTTCTTCTTTTTACACTTCTCATGAGGAAACCACTTCACCTGGCAGAGCTGTTTCCCTCCTCCAGCTCCCCAAGAACTCACGGGAAAACTGTGCTGTCTCCTCTGGCGGAATAAAATAGATAAACAATCTCTTGTGCCCAATTATGTCAAATTTAGTTTCCTGAGCACAATCTTATGACGATTTCATTTCAACTGATTCCATCTCTCTGTTCACTGATGCTCAACACTGGGTTTCCAGATCTGCAGCGGGACAAGGGCCATGGTTTCACTTCCATTCGACCCAGCTGGCTGCTAGTTACTGGAGGCAATGGCCCCGATTTAAAAAATATTCCTTCATGCTGACAAAAATACAAATGTCAACATGCATCTCAGCTCATGGGATCATATCCCTGCAGGTCGACCAGTAGCTTCCAGTTTTCCAAATGAAATTCAGACCAAAACCAGATAAGACATCCTGTCACAGGCCATGTGTCCCTCACCTTTGCAAAGCGTCAGTTCATGCTATTTGCCTATTGAACTATTAAAATCTCTCTTGGCCACTTAAAAAGTTGACATTTAATATTTCTATTATTATATGGATCACAAATGTTTAATCTGCAGTCATTTGTTAACAACAATTAACACAAATTAAATACAATGCCATGATGGATAGCGATTATTTATTAACAATGAAAAATGATTATATGTCATCTTATTTTTGTTACTGAGAAGAAGTTTTAGATTTTTTGTGAGGGTAGGAGTTTGAAAAGCCCAGGGGACCCTGACTCTCCAACTCTTGTGGTAGTCACTTTAAGTATTTAATATTGAGCTTAGAAGTGTGTGTTTCTCGTAGTCTGGTTTTATGACTTTAGAGGATTTGCAAATGGCCCATACTACAGAGAGTTAAGAAATTTAGATTCTAGCATGTAGACATGATTTTCCTATCTTCAATAAATTCTTTTGTTCCATTCCAAAATAAACTGCAAAATTAACCTCCATGGGATGGCTACTGGTTTTCCTGTTAAACTGTCTGGCTAGACTTTCACTTCCAGGCAGCATGCTAGAATATATCCCGTAGAGTATAGAGATACTCTGAAGCTCCATCCTGATGAATAGCTAGAGCCTATATAAAATGTATCTTTGCAGTATTTTTGGATTTCCAAGAAGTGAAGAAAATTTCAACTGCTTTCTGAAAAGGTGAAACAGGAGCCTGTAGTGAAAACAAAATGAAGAGCCTGTTTCAGATGTGCATCCTGGAGGTCTGTCCACGCCACCTTCTTTCCCATCTCCAACTGTTTGGCATCATCTTTTGACATCTGGACAAGTCCAGCTTCCATGGGTCTTGGGAGACAGGGATAGATGTTGAAGATGGAGGCTGGAAGGGAGTCTGGTGATGTTGTTTTGATAGAACCATTTGCTCAGACCCAGGAGACGGGTGTCCTATCCTTAGAAATTCTTGCTCCAAGAACTTAGAGGAACATTCAGAGGAGGAAAAAGAAAAAAGAAAACTCTTTCTAGCTTAAGTCTTTCATCATTTACAGTCAGGGGAATGGTGCTCCAGGTATTCTTTGGTCTGATAAGTAGATTTTCCATGGTAATTACTCTCTTTGCAATATCCCTCCAGGAAGCCCTGATTTGTCAGGCTCACTGCCCAGGTCTCAGGACGTCATTTCATGGCAGGATTGAGCTGGAGCAGAGGCCCAGCATCCAGAGCTTCTCTTATTCCTCTCAGGAACGGGTCCTCCCCTGGCATCTGCTTGTGAGCTCTCCTCTTTCCCATCTCAAACTCTCCTCCTTTCTCATCCCATGCAGGGTCACATGCAACAAATCTGGCAGTCTAGGCTCTTTGCTAGAACAAAACACCTGCACAGCAAGGCAAATGAACAGTCTGTATTTAACCTCTCACATTTCAGCATTAACACAGCTTCTGCAGACCATATTTTCCCCTGTTGTAAATAAACCCAACATTTCTTTTAACTGTCTCCCATGCAGAGAATTCTCTGTCCTTCCTCTGAGTTTCCTTAATCTCAGTAGAGTCACAGCTCCTCCTTGTGGTAAAAGGTCAAACGTGTGAAGACTCTGTCCCATGGTGGACCAAAGGCAGAAGTGGGGTAGAGCTCTTAGAAATGGAGATATGTGGCCGGGTGCGGTGGTTCATGCCTGTAATCCCAACACTTTGGGAGGCCAAGGTGAGCAGATGATGAGATCAAAACGCCGAGATCACCCCGGCCAACATGGTGAAACCCCTTGTCTACCAAAAATACAAAAATTAGCTGGGTGTGGTGGCGCATGCCTGTAATCTCAGCTACTCCAGAGGCTGAGGGAAGAGAATCACTTGAACCCGGGAGGTGGAGGTTGCAGTGCGCCAAGATCGCCCCATTGCACTGCAGCCTGGGTGACACAAGAAAGACTCGGTCTCGAAAAAAAAAAAAAAAAACAAAAAAA